CAGGAGCTCATTATACAATTTGGACTGTGTTCAGTGATTTAGGGTGGGCTCAGAAAAATGCAGTTTTGCTCTGGATTGGGTGCTGTCAACAGAGTAGAAATTTTATAATCAGGTAGCTTCCTAATTTTTATCCCAGAAGCAGGAGGAACAGAATGAGGCTAAAGCCATAATTGGTCAAGAAGCATTCAGGTGAGCCAAGAGTGGGGAAAGTTTGGTTTTTTTGTGCCTTGCAGTGATCTTGCTTTTATCTGTGTTCAGTGTTGATCACTGAGTGATCTTGTTTTCATCTTGTTCTATCACCAATAGATTGACTCCACCATACGTCTGTATTCTGGGAAACTCTTTATGTCCAAGAACAGAACACACAAGGGCCCTAGCTATTAGAGCTGCACTGGCTTAAGCAGATAGCAGTGGAAGGAGCTATTCTTTGTAATTTTCTCAACAACTTGTTTCACAAATCACAATACCTGTTTGTGGTATTTATTTTGTACTTTTTAAAAATAAGATTCATCAGGCTGGGTGCGGTGGTTCAAGCCTATAATCCCAGCACTTTGGGAGGCCGAGGCGGGTGGATCACGAGGTCAAGAGATCGAGACCATCCTGGTCAACACGGTGAAACCCCGTCTCTACTAAAAATACAAAAATTAGCTGGGCATGGTGGCGCGTGCCTGTAATCACAGTTACTCGGGAGGCTGAGACAGGAGAATTGCTTGAACCCGGGAGGCGGAGGTTGCGATGACTCGGGATCGTGCCATTGCACTCCAGCCTGGGTAACAAGAGTAAAACTCCGTCTTAAAAAAAAAAAAAGACTCACGATGCAGAAGGCTGATGTGAACAGATGGTGTAAGGTCAGCCCTGGAGCTACAAAAAGGGGCCTCTGAGCTGAGAAACTGAAACTGATGCTTCCAGATCAAGATTTTTTTTTTTTCTGCCCTCAACTGCTGAAGTAATTAACAGTCACTTTTAAGGCCAAGCGCAGAAGCTCATGCCAGTAAATTCCAGCACTTTGGGAGGGTGAGGGGGTCAGATCACGAGGTCAAGAGATCAAGACCACCCTGGCCAACATGATGAAACCCCGTCTCTACTAAAAATACAAAACTGAGCCGGGTGTGGTGGCGCTGTAATCCTAGCTACTCGGGAGGCTGAAGCAGGAGACTCACTTGAACCCAGGAGGCAGAGGTTGCCAAGATGGCACCACTGCACTCCAGCCTGGTGACAGAGCAAGACTGTCTCAAAAAAAAAAAAAAAAAAAAAGTCACTTTTATTTCAGAATGTGTTGTCTATTTAACCAAGCCTCCCAAGCAGCCCTTCATGGCTTCAAGGTGGTCTGGGCACAAGAGAGATCAGGACTGAAGTATTCAAGATGGTCTGGGCGCAGGACAGATAAAGATTTCCCCCTTAATAAGGTTACATTCCAATAAAGGTAACGTTTGGTTTTTGTTCATAAAAATAAGCACAGTAAATTTTTAAAAAATCATACAGTCTGTTAGAAAGTGGTAAGTGCGATGAAAATAAAGAAAAAGCGCAACAGGGTAAAGAGGGTTGGGAAGGCTGGGCAAGGGTCACAGTGCTGAATGAGGCAGACAGGAAACCCTCTGCTGCATGAAATTTAAACATGTGAAAGTCTCGATGGAAATGAAGAGTGGGGGCCCAAACAAAGCCACCAAAGAGAAATCCATCCAAAGGGAAATGAGCATCACTGTCTCATTTCAGGTATGAGACAGCTGAGGACTAGAGAGGTCTAGGAACTTGTCCAAGACTACACAATTCGATGGTAGAACCAGGTGGAACCTGGGTCTCCAGATGCCCTGCCACAAGCTTCCTTCCTTAAAATGAACTGGATGTAAGATCATTCTGTACAGGATCAAATCCAGAAGTAACTCCAGGATCGCAGGCAGAAGGAGCCTCTGCTTTCCAGGCACACACAGGTATACAATACATGCGTGCATCCATGCCAACCTGCAAAGTGGTAACTACAAAATGATCCTACGAGGTCCAACCTTGAGCCTCATTCACAACAGGGGAAGAGGAGGAGGCTGTGGGCATTTAAGTCTCTTGTTCAACATTTAGATGGCAAAAGGCAGGGTTTATTTGCAAACCCCAGCTGCATAATTTCATAGCTCTATTATATAAAACACCACATACCAGTATGATGTTCACAGATACACGTGGCCTATATAACCCTTAATAATACCTACTTCACAGACAGTTGTGAGGCTTAAGTCAGTATCCCACCTATGCCGAAGACAGCAAGGATATGAAAAAACGCCAGTTCCTTTCCCACATGTGCTGCGTTGGAAACAGCTTGGTGCCAGAGTACGTCCGCAAGGACAGGGACTGCCTGTTGTGCCGTCTGCTGTATCCTCAGAACCTGCCTTGGGGCAGGCACTAAATATTCCCTGAATCGATGGAAAATAGAAGGATGCAAGTTCTTCCTTCTGCTCTTTGTTCTCAATACTCTAGGGATCCCCAAGACGCCTCTCTGTTCAGCTGTGGACAAGAGGAAGCAAATGTGAAAGTGAAACTGCTCTCAGCAGGTCCCAACTCAGTCCCTCCCAGCAGGCTTGTGGCCAGCCAGATGCCCAGACCGGCCACACCAGACCTTCCGGAGGCTGAACAGGACAAACTGCCTCTTGTAGATTAAAAGTCGACCAAGGCACTCTAGAATGGATTCTCAGATCCATTTGCATCAAAAACATAAAATCAAATGAGTATCACATTCAAGGAGTCAGCATATCACAAAGTCAGAATTGATCAAGGCAATTATAAATGCACGTAAGTGGGGGAAAAAAAGGACCGCCCTGGGCATGAAGACAAGCCATGAAGGCCTGCTCAGAAGGCTTTGTTAAATATGAAACAAATTCTAAAATAAAAGTGACTATTAATTACTTCAGCAGTCGATGGCTGAAAAAAAAAAAAAAATCTTGATCTGGGAGCATCGGTTTCAGTTTCTCAGCTCAGAGGCGCCTTTTTAGAGCTCCAGGGCTGACCTTTCGCCGTTGGCTCCCATCAGCCTTCTCCATCACGCGTCTTATTTTTAAAAAGTACAAAGTAAATCCCCCAGTGATCTAATCAAGCTCCCTTACTCACTTGAAGGGTAACCTTCAGAGAAAAGAGGCCACTTGATAAACTCCAAGGAAAGTAAAAATAAAACATAATGGAAAAGACAGTCTCATCATCACAGCTAATTGCAAAGGAAGAGTACATCACTTTTTTCTTTCCAAGTGTCTCCAAGTTTATTTAAAAAAAAAAAAAGGACCAATTTAACAAAGACATTCTGTGTTACTGGTCTGAAGAGAAACAGAAGGAATCTTGGGAGATGCAGTTGTTATTTATAACACCAAAGAGCTCTGTTGAAACAGTTATTCATAAATGTATTGGTGACATATGTAAATATATACAATAAACCAACTGGACGCAGGAGCCTGGCAAAGGTGCTGTGGGGGGCCATGTTGGTGCCATGAGGGGCCATGTTGGTGCCATGGGGGGCATGTTGGTGCTGTGGGGGGCCATGTTGGTGCTGTTGGGGGCCAGGTTGCATCCAGCAAGTCTGTTGCCCTCCACAGCTTATGGGCTGACTGCATCATTACGAAAGCCCAGAGGCAGGACCACGGGGCACTCAGCAGAGAGAGACAGCACTTTGCAGCCCAGCAGGCCCTGGGAGTCATTCTGGAGAAGGACGGGTGGGAGGCAGAGGGGTGAGAAACTGTCAGCACCCTAAACATTTGCTAACCACTCCATGGGCCCCCAACCTACACAACCCAGGAGGGATCAGGCAAGACTCCTCAGAGGCTAGAGGGCCCCTCGTGCCTCACCAGGGCCATGCAACACAATCTCCAGGACCTGTGTTCAGAATCCACGTGCCACACTCCAGGCAAGATGGCAGGAATCAGAATTTCACAACTGGGGCTTCTGGGAAGGGCCCTCAAGGCATTTCTGATGAGCAGCCCTCTCCCGCCTGGAACCACAAATTAACACCATTCTTTTACTTTTCAAAGTGGAGCAAATGAGACTTCAGAGTGGGGTTCCTTACTTTTTCATCATTGCTCCAATGAATATGCAGTGAATACCAACCTCAGGATACAAAAATGAATAAAGCCCGTCCCTGCCCTCATGACGCATTTTTTTGCTCATTGAGTCCTTGCAGTAAAACCATGAAGGACTATGGTCATCTCTTCGCATGCTCCCCACTTTTTTTAAGACAAGGAAACTAAAGGTTAAGAGAACACGAATAATAAATGATGGAATCGGGATCGAGTCTTGGCACCCTGAGACGCACCCCCACTTCAGTCCGGCTTACTGGTGGCTTCCCGGGCACCCAGCCCTACGCTGGCACCTGGGTGATGACTGTGCCCAACAAATGGCCTCTGACCTCAGTAGGAATACAGGACAGCAGAAGAGAGTCCCATGCCAAACTTCCCCTGAAAATATTCCAAAATGTTCCATGTGCAGAATCCAACCAGAGTGCCGAACGGTGGCCGTACCCGGACCAGCTCTCAGGGAGCCATGCTCCCCTGGAAATGTTCTCCATTAAGACAGCCACACGCCTCTCCATGGAAGAGGGTCAGGACCATTCCTGATGGAACAAGCTGGGCAGCTGGTGGGTCTCAGCAGCCACGTCCCTCTCAGAGCCTTGGTCAGGGCCGTGCAAATGAAGAGTCTGAAATGAAGACTCAAGGCGTAGCTCCTGAGAGTGATAAACAGATCTACTGATCATCAGCCAGAAGAGCAAGACACGGGGAAATCCCACCACGACAGGGAATCAGACACCGTTTCCAAGTCCCCGTGAGGCAGCCACTATGTCTTCTTTGGTGGAGAACCAGATTACAGCCCTAAACTTAGAGGGGGACGACGCCAAGCTCTAGGCTGGTGCTTCTACTTTTAGCCAAGTGAGCCGAGGCAGCTTACTTCAGCACAGATCGCCCAGCTGAAAAACGGCAACTTGCAAAGGTTTCCACGAGGATTTCATAAAACAGCTTTGAAAACGCTTCGCATCTTACCTGGCTCACGGCAGGTGCTCTACAGAGGGATGATGTATCTGAATGTGTTTCTTAATGCAGGTTCTGAAAAACAGACAAGGCCCCTTTAAGGTTAGCTGTCAGAGGAACCTGTCTGTCATTATTCTTTTTTGTTTGTCTCCCTCTGCCCCCTAATTTTTGTTTTTTGAAGAGCAAGCAGAAAAAGCTAAAAAAAATTTTTTTTGTTTTTTTTTTTGAGACAGAGTCTCGCTCCGTTGCCCAGGCTGGAATGCAGTGGCGTGATCTCAGTTCACTGTAACCCCTGCCTTCTGGATTCAAGTGATTCTTGTGCCTCAGCCTCCCCAGTAGCTGGGATTACAGGCTCAACCTACTTTGGTATTTTTAATAGAGATGAGGTTTTGCCATGTTGGCCAGACTGGTCTCGAACTCCTGGCCTCAAGGGATCAGCCGTCCTCAGCCTCCCAAAGTGCTGGAATTACAAGGGGTGAACCACTGCACACGGCCTAAAATAACATCTTTAAGTGAAGGTTCATGGGGCAAACAGAGTAGCGGATCTTTTATTCTAAGCTGGAAGCCAAAAGGAACAGACTCCCGTCAAGGGCAGGAGAAAAAACCCACTGTGAGCTTTTGATACCCAGACAGCTGGGAAACCCCAAAAGGCAAGAATTCAAAAGACCTCAAAAATAAATACACCCAGGGGACATGCAAGTACAAGAAATGATGCAGTCAGAAAAAGACAAAGTTAAATTACATGTTCACTTGCAGTAAATTTTCAAGGAAACATACTAACAAAAGTTACTGAAATGTTTCTTATAGTTGTTTATCAGTAAATGTTAGTTAATTAGTCATTAATGCTCTCCTAGATGAACAAAATGCTTATTTATATAAAAGGATAATCAAGTGCATCAGAGAGCATCTCTGGCCTATCACACAAGAGATCTCACCTTTGACCCCATAAACCATATTACTGCACACCCAGGGCAGTTATCGATTTAAGAACCGCGCTTGAGAAAAAATACCTCAAGGGAGCGAACCTTACAAACGCAAACCTGTATCGTGATAATATTGCTGTGTTACTGTATTTCCAAATTTCAGAACGACATCTCATCACAGTCTCAAATATGAAAACAGACACATGAGCTTTCGGAGAAGATTCTCAGCAGATGAAGAAATGACACTAGAAAAACAATGGGCACCCAACAGATGCAAACAAAAAAGCTTCACCGCACACGGTGGCCTCGGGTGGTATAAACTGGTCCCTGCCAGGTTTCTGAAAGAAGTGCAGTCTGAGCCTGGACTCAGAAAAAAACTGAGTTTTCAACAGGCCCAAAGCAGTTTCAGGCTTAACAAAGGCCACATTAAGGTAAAATTCTTTCCAGCTCCTAAAGCTCGATGATCCTTAGAAGTAAAAAGAAGTCACGGATGGGCGTGGTGGCTCAAGAGGTCAAGAGATGAAAACCATCCTGGCCAACATGGTGAAACCCCGTCTCTACTAAAAATACAAAAATTGGCTGAGCATGGTGGCAGGGGCCTGTAATCCCAGCTACTTGGGAGGCTGAGGCAGGAGAACCGCTTGAACCTGGGAGGCAGAGGTTACAGTGAGTTCAGATTGCACTACTACACTCCAGCCTGGCAACAGGATGAGACTTCCTCTCAAAAAAAAAAAAAAAAAAAAAAAAGAGAAGTCAGAAGTCAGGTATCAAACAGAGACTGGGGCTTAAATTCAGCTGCGTTACCTTGGTCTTGAGTGATAAATAAAATGAACAAAATGTAGCCAAGAGCTGGAAGCAACTCATGATGACATGCATGGCTCATTAAGGACATGTCCAGCCACAGATGACCGGACAAACCAACGTGCTGTGTGGCATATACACACAACAGAAGGAAACAGCACCACACGCTGTTTCATGTGAGATGAACTTTGAGGACCTCGTGCTAAGTGAAATAAGCCAGTCACAAAGGGACAAATACTGTATGATTCCACTCACATAAGGTACCTGAAGGACCCAAACCCAAGAGAATGCTGCTTGTCAGGGACTGGGAGGAGGGGAGAAGAGGGAGTTCTTGTTCAAAGGGCACACAAGTTCAGTTTTGCAAGATCCAAACGGTTCTGGAGATTGGCTACACTACAGTGTGAAGTTACTTAACACTACTGAACTGTCCACCCCAAAACAGTTAAGATGGTTAAAAGTTAAAATCTTATGTGTATTTTACACTTTAAAAAGTTCAAATTTTTTGTTCAACTAAAAAAAGTTTTTGTACAGACAGTGTCTTATTATGTTGCCCAGACTGGTCTGGAACTCCTGGACTGAAGGGATCCTCCTACTTCGGCCTCCCAAAGTGTTAGGATGACAGGCATGAGCCACGATGCCTGGACTTCTTTGAATTTTTTAAATCAACAAGATGATACCTAACCCCAGGGCTTGAAATAAGACTTAAATGAGATAATGTACGCAATCTAACCACAGCACCTGGCAAACAACAGATGTTCAAATAAATATTTGTTTCTCCCACTGTCTTTGTTTGCAAAAAAAGAGAACTTAAGTGAATGGAGGGGCAATCCTAGTGGTTAGGAACTCCAGAGTCAAAATGTCCCGGTTCCACACTGGATTCTCTACTCGGCAGCAAGCGTGGGTGGAGGAAATTGACCAGCTTCTCTGGCACTGAGTGTCCTGAGCAGTGAAGGTGGTTGGGGGGAATCTTCTGAGGACGGGCGTGCAACCGTGTTCAGGAGACTGCCTGGCCCACAAGAACATGACTTCAGCGCTCAGCAGGGCAAAGTGGGGGCAAGACCAACACGTGCAGACTACTAGGCCACTACCCTGGCCTCCTGGGCCAGTCCCCGACTCTAGCTGCCCACAACAACTAGAATAGGGCACCTTCCTGGAAGCAGGAGCCGGCATGGGGAACTCTGTGGACCCGGCCAGCCTAAAGCCTCTCTGAAGACCTACTTCACTGCCACCACGGCTGCAACCCCTCACACGCACATCCATGCACTCTCAGCAAGGTCCCCGTCGTGTAAGGCCAGCACTTCTGGGCACTCTTGCCAGAGAGCTTTCATCCCTGAATCTCAGGGAGGGCAGAGTTCCCACAGGCTGACAGCACGTAAGGAAGCGGCATCGCCCAGGCAGCCTCTGCCTCGAATACCTCTCTTGTTCCTCCTCCTTTTCTTCCACCCCGCTTATTCCCATCTGTGCGGTGAGGAAGAGGTTAGTAAGCACAGCCCCATCCTGGTATTCTCTCCAAAACTCCACATTAAAGGAAAACTGCCATCTGCGAGGAGATAACAGCTAAGTCGTTTCTCCCTCCGTTAACTTGGTGGCCAAGCACAGCCACCACCTGGGCTAAGCATGCCAGCCTTCGCTAACACCCACTCTGCAAAAGGACCAAGGCCTGCAACTCGGCTAGCTGTTCCACACTCCCTCCTCACCCACCTACACACACGCACACGCACACACCCTTAGCCTACAATTAACAGCAACAACAAGGAATCAGGAACAGCCAATGGGAGCATACTGTCATGGAACAAGCCACGGAATTTGCACAAGATCCCTTGGACAAGCAATTAACCTCACCAAGCCTCAGGCTCCTCACCCCAGAATGGCCACGCAGACAGGTCCGGCCTTTCCATGTTGCCATGAGGATACTTGACTGTCAGATTCAGAGAACTCTCCTACGCAGCATTTGGTGCCACCCCCCAGTCCTGCCCCCTAGCACATCGTGCCAGCCCCAGAAGCTCTTGCACCAGCAAATAAATGCTTTCACTGGGATTATGCAACTCACTTCTGCTCACCACCCTTCAGCCAGAATGAGCCACATGGCCCTAGAAAGGGACAGGGAAAGGGACCATTTTTGTGTCCTCCGTAGAAGAGAAGCGGATTTTGGGAAACAGGCGTTTTTCTTTTCTTTTCTCTTCAAGACAAGGTCTCACTGTGTCTTCCAGGCTGGAGTGCAGTGGCGCGATCTCAGCTCTCCTCCATCTCCTGGGTTCAAGCAATTCTCCTGCCTCAGCCTCCGAAGTAGCTGAGATTACAGGTGCACGCCACCATGCCTGTAAGCCCTCATGTCTTTTCTTTTTTTTTTTCTTTTGTATTTTTAGTAGACAGAGGGTTTCACCATGTTGCCCAGGCTGGTCTCAAATCCCTGAACTCAAATGATCCACCTGCCTCAGCTTCCCAAAGTGCTGGGATTACAGGCATGAGACATCGCATCCAGCCAGAGAGAGACGTTCCTAACACAGACACAGTCTCTGCCCTCGGGAGCTTACGGGACGTGGTTAAGACACGTTACACAAACCCCCATAGAAAAGGCTGCCAAAGATCCTGTAAGGTGCCATGGGAGCAAAGGAAGACTATTCACCCCATCTGGGAGCCTGTGACAGAGGTTTCTATGTCATCAGGGAAGGCTTCCTGGGGGCGGTAATATCTGAACATCATGAACAGTACAGGCGATCTTCCCAGGGAAAAGCATTGATGGCAGTCACTGAGCACAGAGGCTCCTGGCCTTGGTAACACTGCAATCTCGTCTTTTCCGGTGCTGAGGCCTGGGATCCTTCATAACTGGATCATAAACCCGCTCCGAACGGGTGTACCTGACACTGTGACCCCCAGGGCAGAATCACCTGGACCACAGAAAGCTGAGGGCCAGCCAGACACCTGGGTCCTCAGTGTAGGGACACAGAGGCCAGCCGGGCCTGGGTTCAAATCCCAGCTCTGTCACATGTCCTCGGGGACCAACATGATGTTGGTTTGTGAACTTGGTGTTATAAAACGTTTTTGTGAGAGTTATGTTTTCATTAATCTAACAAATCTATTAATAAAAAACAGGCAGTCCGCAGTCAAAATTGTTACCAGAAATAAAAACAGTCAAACAATATTGATGATTGACATTCCTACCATACCTATATATTAGTATCTATCAGAGGTAGCATGCACTGAGTCCTCGCCAAGGGCTTGGCCAATTACTACTCTATTATTATTAAACTTGTTCATGGATGACAAAGTCCAAGCACATAAGTCAATTAAGCTGCCCGAGGGCACAGGAATGTGCTACAGAAAGTGATTTCCTTCATACTGAGCCTCAGC